TTTACTCAATCCACATGAAACTTAGTTTACAACATGCAAAGGCACATTTCACACACACATAATTATTCCAACTCATTTCCAAACAAAAATACAACATGCAACAAGAATTTAACCATCATTCACCTCAATGTATTCAAACACCCAACACCCCTAAACATACAGATTCCATCAATCAATCATCAACCTAGCCACATTTTGAATGTAATCCAACAATCATACAATAACAAAATCAAATAAGATCCAAGTTCTAGTTTCCCTTACCTTAAAATCAAAGAGAACCAAGGAAGAAGGAAGAGGAAGAACGAACTTTGAACAACTTTGAAGTTTTGCACCAATATCGATTTTCAGCTCCAACAACCTTGAATCTCCAACTAGGTGCTCAATAGAGATCTTTTACAACTCCTAGGAGGCTAGAAAGAAAAAGAAGAGTTTTAGAACTCCAAAGCTCATTTCACTATTATCTCTCTAAGGTACTCTAAGAAATGAGTTTATGAAGCTCAAATCTTAAAAAACAAAATCTTATATACATTCCCCTCAGGGTCAAATTAGACCTTTACCCAAAGAAACCTTCTAAGCGCCTAAAACTCACGAAAAATCCTAAATTCTCAAAGCTTCTCAGCAATAAACTCCCAAAACTACCACAACATATAATTATTAACAAAAATAGCAAAAATTAACAAAAATATACAGTGTTATAGGTTTTATAAGAGGGATAACTCTTTCTCACCGAGTCAGTTTCTATAGGGGTAAAATGGTACCTCAGCCATGACTTTTTGCTCAAGGTGAAAATCAAACCTCATTCTTTAGTTAAAGAGCACATGTGCATAACCATAATGTAAAGTCCTAATTGATACACATCATTTTTCTCATTTTATATGTATTTTTTTGTTATATCATATCACTTGTGTGTGTACGTGTGTGCGTGTGTTCAAGGTTTAGGATTTAGAATTTGATTTTTTTTCTCTTCTATATCATATATACAAAATTTTATATTAATCTAAAATTGTTTGAGGTTTATATATATATCAAAATCGATGTAATATATACATTTCAAAATATACTAAGATATGAACAACTTGATTGCTTTCTTATTGTAGTTCAATTTTAGCAAAAATTGACATACTTATTCAAGGTAATATAAAGTAATTTAACGGTTGCATCGATAAAATTCACTTTATAATAACCTTTTATATAAACTTTGCACATAATTTAAATAATATATTATATGTTAAAATAAAATAGTGTGATAGACTACTAAATTAATTTTTGAATAATTTAAAATTTGATATACATGATTTTCAATATAATATCACATAATTCATTGGTTAGATCAATTAAATTTGCATTACACTTGATGAAGGCATTAGATTTGATATAAGTTTTTAGAATTATATCTGGTATCAACAGATCCCGACTCATTCATATACATACATACATATATATACATACATACACACACACACACGTATATGTGAAGTAATCCATTTACTCTAGGAGTAAATCTACCTAGATTTATTATGTTCAATGACTCATATTCTACATCAAATTTTAATAATTCAACCGTTGGATTTAAAGTTTTTAATACACAGATCAAGTTTGTAAATTTTTTAAAAATTTTAAAATCATTTAATACTTCATTTCATTAATTTTAATTGATATATATGTGTGTATTTGTGTGTGCGTGTAAAATTATAAACCCTAAAATCTATTATATATTCAAAATCATATATATTAAATTTATGTGATTTTAAATTTTTTAATTATATTATTCAATAATAAATATAAACACATATTTTAAATATTATATTATACATTAAAATAAAACAACATTATGAACTAATAATAAATGATAGAATCATATAAAATTTAATATAATATAATTCAACAGTTATGTCCACAAATGCTTACTCATTGATGTACCAGTAATAGCTTGGGGTATTGACACATCATTTTTCGAACATAATTATTTACGAACAAGCAACTTCTTTTCATATTTAAAAAAAAAAAACGAAGAAACAAAACGCTAAGAAATGGGGTTAAATTAATCATATTACCGTCTTTACATTTGATACTTAAGTGGGAAAAAAAAATCGTACACGATACCAAGTCTAATTATTAATATATATTATTTATATATAATATATGAAATTGGAATGATTTAAAAAAAAATTATTTTGATTAATATCTTAATTTTCTTGAATAATTATTTTTAAAAACTCAGTTGTAACAATATATATAGTTCAAATAAAAAAGTAATAGTAGATCAATACTATAAATTAAAAATAAAAAAATATTACTATGATTATAATATATTAATAATTTAAAATAGTATAAAGTAAACTGGAAAAAAATAGTAGAAAGTAATATTATAAAAACAATAATAAAAAAATAAAAAATATTTATACTCTTACAGGTACAACTATAGTTATTAATATATCTTTATATATTTATTTTATGTTTTTAGTTAAAATTTAAGAAATTCAAATAATTTTAATAATTTTTATTTAATTAATATTTAAAAAAAATAAAAAATAAAAAGTTATTTAAAAAACCCTGTTGTAAAAAAATTTAATTTTATTTATTTAAAATGGATATTAATAGAACGTAAAGACTTAATTATAATATTAACAAATAAATAACATTCAATATATTAAATAATATACCAATTAAATACACGTATCTATATATTATTGAATAATAATAGTGAGTACCAACACATGTTTTATAAAACATGCCCCGAAGTAATAATTTTGATAGAATAGTAATGTTTTCATATCAAGAATCATGACATAGGAATTACAAGTATCTAAATTACGAATTTTAAAAGCATTTATAAATGATACTCGTAAATGAAAGATTCTCATTACATTTTTGTTAAAAAAAAAAAAACCTTACACATTAATAAATAAATGAAGGTTGTGTTACTACTTACTATAATAAATAAATGAAGTAGTCCTTGAGGTGTCATGATTTCGTATTCTTGATTTTCTCCTAATCCATTGATGCAAAAAGCAGCAACTTGATGACCATGTCTTTCATACCAACTCTCTTGACTCACATATTTAACGAGCAATTCCATTCCTATTTGAAATTTTCCACTAGTGAGTGTCTGTGGGCTACACTGTGGTGGGTCAACATCATCACCAACCTTTGATTCTTCAACAATCCACACTAATGGTTAAAGTCGAATTTTTTACTGGAATAATATATATTTTTTTTTAAATTACAAGAATGATCACTGTGCAGGATTATTTATCAAGATAGAACCATTTACTGTTCAAGCTCAGAATTCGGTTCCCCGGGAACCGAATTCTGAGCATCAAAATGTAATTTTTTTTGTTTTTTCAACTCAGAATTCGGTTCCCGGGGAACCGAATTCTGAGTTGGTTTTAAATTTTTTTTTTTTCGTGTATGGGGGCAAATGTGGGCTGATTTGGGAAGCAGAACGGCCCGTTCCAAAAGCAGAACGGGCCGTTCTGCTTAAAAAAACAGAGTGCAAATTCTGAATGTGAAACGGCCCGTTCCAAAAGCAGAACGGCCCGTTCTGCTTAAAGAATTTGCACTCTGTTTCTTTAAGCAGAACGGCCCGTTCTGCTTTTGGAACGGGCCGTTCCGCTTCCCAGATCAGCCCACATTTGCCCCATACAAAAAAAAAAAAAAATTTAAAACCAACTCAGAATTCGGTCCCCCGGAAACCGAATTCTGAGTTGAAAAAACAAAAAAAATTACATTTTGATGCTCAGAATTCGGTTCCTGGGGAACCGAATTCTGAGCTTGAACAGTAAATGGTTCTATCTTGGTAAATAATCCTGCACAGTGATCATTCTTGTAATTTTTTTTAAAAAAAATATTATTTCAGAAAAAAATTCGGTTAAAGTCACTCACCTCACCAACCACCCAATGCTTCAATGCAAAACACATATTTCCCCTCACTTGATCCTCATCCTAACGCCACGCCACCCTCTCATCACAATTTCATTGCACTTTAATTATAAATGTAGCTAAAATAGTAAAAGAATGACAAGCCTCTATATGTTGACTCAATTTGAATTAGCTTCAAACAATTTTTTTTTAATAATACGTAGATTTAATTATTATTTAATTAATAAGAAATAATTCTTACTAATTAATCCTTTATGAAGGTAAAAAGATGTCATTCTTATTAATAGCATGGCAACGGGGCGGGGCGAGGTGGGTTTTACATTCCCTGCCCTGGTCCCCACAAAATTAAAAACCTTCACCTTTGCCCTCGATATCTGTTGGAGGTAAAATCTAAGTACCCATTCCCATCCTACCTTCCTGGCGGGATTTAGGTTTTCCCGTCCCGCCCCCGCTCCCACTTTTTTTTTCTTTTCTTTTTATTTTTTTTATTTTAAATAAATGAATTTTTTTTTAAAAAATACAATAAAATAAAATAATACAAATTTTTATATATAAATATTTTTAATTTTAATTTATATATAAATAATTTTTTTAATTATATTATTAAGTGAGGTGGGACAGGTATTAAAATTCACATTCTGTCCCTGCTCCCGATTTTATCAATCGAGAAAAACCTGAACTCAAACTCGATAAATACAAATTTTTCTCGTCCAAATCGAGACAGATTCGAGCAAGTAGTCACAAAAACGGGTTAAACTTCCTTACCTACTTATTAATCATGCTAAGATTTGTATATTATATATTCTATAGTAAAATATTCAGTTTCCCTCAAAAGTCAAAAAGACTTGAACTGCTCAGCCCACCCCATCATTATACACATGAAATTTAATTTTCTATACTTTATCCATCCCTTTAGCATGCAACATGGTTGGTAATTGGTAACATCCAATGAATTAGCGGTAATATGTAACCACAGAAATAAATAAAAATAAACGAAACCAAAGTAAATTTAGAAAGACAGAAAATAAAATAGCATGTATTAAACGAAACGTTTCGTAACACATACATCCAATTTTCACCAACTCCCTCTCTTTCTCTAATATAAATCAATATCAACCTCGCTCCAACTCTTCCTAGAACACAACCTCTCATCACCAAAATTAATTAAGCACTTTGTTTTTTCAATGGCTCTGATTTTGATCATACCCATCGCGCTCATCACCCTTTACGTGTGTCACGCAGTGTACCAGCGGCTAAGGTTCAAGCTCCCTCCGGGGCCACGGCCTTGGCCGGTTGTCGGTAACCTCTACGACATAAAACCGGTTCGGTTCCGGTGCTTCGCGGAGTGGGCCCAGTGGTACGGGCCCATCATATCGGTTTGGTTCGGTTCGACGCTAAACGTGATCGTTTCGAACTCTGAGTTGGCGAAGGAGGTGCTGAAGGAGCAGGATCAGCACCTGGCGGACCGCCACCGGAGCCGGTCGGCGGCGAAGTTCAGCAGAGACGGGAAGGATCTCATTTGGGCCGATTATGGGCCGCACTACGTGAAGGTGAGGAAGGTTTGCACGCTTGAGCTTTTCTCCCCGAAGCGTCTCGAGGCCCTCAGGCCCATTAGGGAGGATGAGGTGACGGCCATGGTTGAGTCCATTTACCACGACTGCACCCATTCTGGTACCTTCTTTTTCCCATCTTAACGCTTTTCTATAATATTCAATTTTTAAATTAAACGCCACATGAGACAACAACTCAACGGATATCATACTATTTCTAACTAAAAGGAGTAACGTGTTTAGTAAATATTAAAAGCTAAAACTACGAAAATATTAATACTAGAGTTGGTGGAGTAAATAAGATCTAATTTTTGGAATTTTTTTTATTTTTTAAAATATAATTTATTTATATATAATTAATATTTAGTTTGTAAATTGAATGGACAAAAATTCTAGTAATATAAGAATATTAAACTAGGAAGTGGAATAAAGGAAAAGACGATCAAATATTCTTATTAGAAATTAAAAAGAAAAGGACAATGCAAGCGTAGTCAAATTTGGATGGACGCAAAACACTGTTTCAGAGACCGATGGTTGAACAACTATTTTCTGAAGTGTATCGCACGAAACATTTGGGCTTTGACTCACTCATCAATCATCATGTTAATTTTCTTTTATATATTGATTTTATATTTATTTATTTATTTATTTTGGTAAAAAAATTTGTTCTCGTAGTTAATTATCTGTAATCATAGATACAAAAGAACCTTTTGGCTGAGGTGAAAACAAAAGGCAAAGTAATTTACCTCTAAACGGTTATAATTGACTTTTAAAAATAAATATCTTCTCCTTTCTTAAAATATACTCATCATTTTTGGACACAATGAGTAATTTGCATTCTATTTATATGAATTTGTTAGGATGTTAGTAAGAATTAAGCGACTAATTAGGTGAAGGCATAAGTGAATTACCAAAAAGAAACATTGGGTGATGCAATGCGTTGATAACTTTTTGTCGATGATGTGGACGGTGTACCTGTTTTGTATGCAATGAAAAGGTGTCTTCCTTAGTTAATTTAGGTCCATTATCAACAGATAGCGTTGGTTTAACTAATTAGGCTACTATTTTTTTCTTCAATAATTTACGCCACAACAACCTCAACTTCGTAAATAGTTTTTATTAATACATGTCAGATTGACTGAAATTATGGAAACTAGCTAATAATTTTTCAATTTAGATTATTTTCTTACCAACCTTTGTAATCACCCTCATACATAAACGCTTTTTTGTCATAAAATAAAATAAAGTTTGTTTTAACTACTGATGAAATGAAATAAGTTCAACAAAGTGTTTTGGTTTAACTGAGGCTTATAACATGCTTTAATTTTGAAATGCAATAGTTTTTCTATTTTTTTTTTTTAAAAAAACTTTGCCTGATAATTAATATTTGCCTGGTTGGGTTAGGTTAGTTGCAATATGAATATGATGCCGGACATGTTTATTATATGTTCAAGCAACTTTAAAGTCTTTTCTCTCATAAACAGGGCAACTACTTATATTAGCTGTTTCTTCCCACCTTCGGCGTTAAGTTGGCCTACCTAATTTTTCGGTACTTTAGTGACACGTAAAGAATTATTAAACTTTGTATGACAAAGTTTCACAAAATCAAATGAATGCCCTTATGTAATTTTATTTGGGTATATGAAATGGTTGGTTTTCAGATGTGAAAATTCTAAGTACATGTGTGTTCTCTGACTGTCATATTCATAATAACATTACGTGTGCAGCCATAAATAACTATGCACAAACTTTATTAATACTTAATTTTCGTTAAAAACTTCGCTGGTGATTTTTTAATGAGTCTTTTCTTCTTATTAAGTATTTTTGGGAATGTTAGTTTTTAAATAATAAACCTAACACAAGAAACTAACATCTGTGGTATCAAATTCTCGAAAAAATAAAATCTTTCTATGAATCAAACGGCCATTACATTAAAATATAAATTGCTTTTTTTATAAAAAAAAAAAAAAAAAAGTAATGAGAATTGATAGGTGTATTCCCAATTTTCTAATTTGCCAAATGTGTATTTGCACAATATTTTTCCAGAAAATTTGGGGAAAGGTGTATTGGTGAAGAAGCACTTGGGGGCTGTGGCATTCAACAACATCACGAGGTTGGCATTTGGGAAAAGATTTGTGAACTCAGATGGTGTGATGGATGATCAAGGAGTAGAATTCAAGGCTATTGTGTCAAATGGGTTAAAGCTAGGAGCGTCTTTAGCTATGGCAGAGCACATTCCTTGGCTACGATGGATGTTCCCACTGGAAGAAGAAGCTTTTGCCAAGCACGGAGCTCGCCGTGACAGACTCACCAGAGCCATCATGGAAGAGCACACTGAAGCACGCAAGAAATCTGGTGGTGCCAAGCAACATTTTGTAGATGCCCTCCTCACATTGCAAGACAAATATGACCTTAGTGAAGACACCATCATTGGTCTCCTTTGGGTAAGTTGCATTACTTGTTACAACCTTTTCATATTAGTTTTCTTAAAATTAGACAATATTTGCTAGACACCCACATGTAGAGAAAGAAATTCAAGAGAGAAGTAACATGACATGATATAAATAAATGGGGTGTCTAAAAAAGAGAAATTTCTATAAATAAATAAAAATCAAGATTCTCACTAATTTTCAATGATCCATAATTAAGTGTTATTATTCTCTTTTCATAAATTTTAAAATTGTTTGGGTGATATCGGTGAGGATCATGATCAAGTGGTGATTTGACACCATTGATACGTGGTGACTTCAGAACACTAAATAATTTTTCCCAAAAACAACACTATTCCTAATATATAAGCAACTATTTAGAAAAATTATGAGTAAATACTTCCAACTTTGTTTAACACCTAGAAGAGAATGAGAAAGTAAAAAGAAAAAGTGTAGTTATGATAGAGAATGTGAGGTGATAAAATATAAAAAATTAGTAGTTAAACCCTATATACCATGTTTAACTATTTTTGGTTTCAAAAGTATGATTGATATATTCATTTTTTTTGTTCATTTGATAGGACATGATCACAGCAGGGATGGACACAACTGCAATCTCTGTGGAGTGGGCCATGGCAGAGTTGATAAGAAACCCAAGGGTGCAACAAAAGGCCCAAGAGGAGCTAGACAAAGTGATTGGGCTTGAGAGGGTGATGACGGAAGCCGACTTTTCAAACCTACCTTACCTTCAATGCGTGGCGAAGGAGGCACTGAGGCTTCACCCACCAACCCCACTAATGCTTCCACACCGTGCTAATGCCAATGTCAAAGTTGGAGGGTACGATATTCCCAAAGGGTCCAACGTGCATGTAAACGTGTGGGCCGTGGCCCGTGACCCAGCTGTGTGGAAGGATCCACTAGAGTTCCGACCCGAGAGGTTCCTTGAGGAGGATGTGGACATGAAGGGGCATGACTTCAGGCTACTTCCATTTGGGGCGGGCCGAAGGGTATGCCCGGGGGCCCAACTCGGAATCAACTTGGTGACATCCATGTTGGGCCACCTATTGCACCATTTCTGTTGGAGCCCACTTGAGGGAATGAAGCCCGAGGATATTGACATGGGGGAGAATCCTGGGTTGGTCACATACATGAGGACCCCACTACAGGCTCTGCCTTCTCCTAGGCTCCCCTCTCACTTGTACAAACGTGTCCCTGCTGAGATCTAATCTTTCTTTTCTTGTTCCAATCTTGCTCTTTGTTGCATTCACAAAATTAATTTCCTTATCGACACTATTTCTACCATTTTGTCTATGTAACTACATTTGAAATTACTCTTTAAAGAACTAAGGTAAAAGTTGGAGCCAATATGTCTTTTTCCTTGTAATATTTTCTATTAAAATAAGTTAAATGGGAAGAGAGTTCACTGGAAGTACGTGTATAAGAATTACTCAACAGATGAAATTAACTAGTCAGACGAGTCTTAAGTTTCCAGTAGAGACTTTTAGAAGTTAACTAGGAGGTAGAAACTTGTATAATTTTCCTTGCCAATTAGAGTAAATTGTATGTTTACTTGGACGGGGTAAAGAAATTACAAGAGGACCAAATGTATCTAAACATTTTCCAAATCAATTAATAACAACTCCAAATGAGATGATGAAAAATGAGTAAACCTTATCAATTTAATACTATGTAGCTCCAGACAAAGTTATAGATATGATTATCTAGCCATTGTTAAACAATTATATTTTGGAAAAAATTAATCTAAATTTATAATCATTGCATGTATGTGAAAATTTAAGAGGTGGATTTCAAGAGGTTTTTTTGAGAAATTCTACTATTATAATGAGATGTAAGTGAAAAGATGAGACATTTATGAATGAAGTATTGGATTTCTACTAAGAAAGAGAGACCAGGTCACCACCTTATTTGAGGATTTTTTATTTTTTTGGGAGAGGGGGGGGGGGATGGGGATCTAACATGGAGGGTTTCTCAAGTTGTACAAAAAACTTGTAATGTGATTTTAGATGTTCTTGTAGACATAAACAAGAGGTGTTAAACTACATTAAATTCATGTCTTTGCTATTTATATTTGTGTTGTTATTTGTGTGTGCATACCTTTTGATCTTCATTGCATGTGGACTCTCCTAATTAAGACTAAGGTTGGTTGATGATCATGTTGATTGGCCTTGTTTTATCCTTGATGGGAACCTTATCACAACATTGTTTTGGAGGGAGGTGTAGGATATTGATCAACTATAATTTTTATAGGTCATATGCATTTACCTCTATTTTATTATACTTAGCCAACCCTACATGTGGTTGTAAAGGCTACATGGTATATGATCGTTATATATCTTTCTACAAACTAAAATTGTGGGGAGATAGAAGCGAAAGGTATATATAACAATTAAACTAGATATATTTATAGGTGATTAGTAACCCAATTAAGGTATTGATTTCCTTATGCTTTGGCAAGGACAATCTGAAATCAATATCAAAACACCGACATCCATTGTGGGGCAAGGTGAAAAGGTTTTTCTTGACATCCCTAGGTATCTTTAATAATGTATATGAACACACCTCAACATACATCATATACAAACATATCTCGTCACACATTCACCTACGGAGATATCCTAACAACATGAGCACTCTAAGTGAATTTCACCCTACTGAACCAACCTAATCGTTTTCACGCTCGAAGCATCGACTCAATCACAAAAAAATGAGATACCAATCCCTCCTTTGATTTCTTAGGTCTCATCACTTACACTAGAAAAGTTTGATTTTACTGTCAAGAGTAGTACAGCTAGATATAGGCTTACTACGACCTTGACATACATTACAAGGTCACATATAGAATTTGCCCATTGATTATCCTCAAGGAACCACATAACCTTTCCAAGTACTTGCTTAAGGGCTATATAGTCCTCAACTTTCTACCTTACTCAACTACTAACTAAGGACTTGGAGAAGACCTAACACACCTCAAAACCTACCCTAAGAGACACACCTATTTAAGGATGATTTTTCAAATAGTGGCTTACCCGAGCACCACTCCAAGATGCCCTATGTGGGATCTTCAATTTTCAAAATAATTTCCTCTTTTCAAGTCCTAAGTTGACCATCATGCTTTAATGGAACACCACATTCTCAACACCTACAACTCACCATACATCTACTATGTATATCACATCTGATCAATGCATATAAAGATCAATAACATCAATCATAGCATATTAATGCTTAACAATTCATACAATAATAGAATATCAATGCTCCACGATTCATTCAATAATATATCAATCATACATAGCATATCAAGGCTCCACAATTCATTCAACAATAGCATATCAATCATACATAGCATATCAATAAGGCTCATCACCATTCTAACTAAACAAAAATAGCATTCCAATGCTTATTATCATTTCAACTACACAAAGATAGTATTTTAATGCTTATTATTATCATCCTACAACGTGCAACATGAAATAGACACAAGTATTCTATTCATGTTTATCAAATTCACCATCATACAAAATGTATCAACATACAACTTTATCAAACCACTTATCTTACACAAACAACCTTCACTTAAAACAATGCATAGGAAGTTCTACTACTCCTATCATGCTTATCCTTATCTCATATGAAAGACAAGAAGATTTTCTACAACTTTCATGTAGAAATCAAATTCTAATTTCATCATCTACCATGTTAAAAATTGTAAAACCAGTAACAATTTACCTAAATGTTGACAACTTAACCTTTACTCACTAAAAAGGTTATAATTGAAGTTTTAGACCTCATTTTTAAGTGATTCCAAAGTCATTGGAAAGATAACATTCACGGATACAACTTTCATGGAGACCTCAAGACCAAATTCGGTCATCTACCCCCACCGCTATAGAGTTCAATTTAGCATTTCAATGCTAGATTTCTACTAGCTCAGTTTTTACCCATGGCTCCGGCACTCAACTGTGGTTGTAGTGTTGGATCTCTGCCAGACTAATTTTCCCCACTGTTGTAACGCTTAACCATGGCTACAGTGTTGGATCTCTGTCATCCCATTTTCTCTCAGAGTTGTAACACTCAACCACAACTGTAGTGTTAAGTGCATAAAATTTTTGCACTTTCGTGACTTCCCCCTTAATTCCTCACCTACACTTCACTAATTTTTCTTCTAAACACGATCTACACTCATTATCTACTAGATTTGTTCATGCAACCCAGAAATCACAAGAAAACCAACATGCATCCACCAAAACTCAAAGAAGTCATCAACATTTTTAACCTTTCATCAAGAACACCAAAACCTCAATTTCATAATGCAACCAATTTTGAATTGATCCCCACAACTACAAATTTGAGAAATTCTACCAATTTTAAGCTCTTAATTCAATCAACAACCTAAAAATTTAGCCAAAATGCAAGATTCTAGCTTCCTTTACCTTGATTCCGAGCTCTCCGAGGAGGAAGAAGAATCGAACCAAAAACTCTAACCTACTCCGAGGTAGAAGAAGAGAAGGAGAAGGAAATGGACTCCGAGCTCCAACAACTCAAGTTTCGCAACTACACCACAGGATTCTCAATTCCAAGTCTTAGAAATCTTTTCTTAAGAATCTGAGAAAAAGAAAGAGAAGTGTTTGGTTTTGACGTCCTCCCATAATGTCATATCTCACATCCCAATCTTTGGTTGGTTACTAAGAGATGCTTGTATATAAGAAATTATTTGAAAGGGACATATTTTGTATTTTTAAATAAAAAAGAAGGTGCATAAATTAAATTTTACAAAATATATAATGAATATAAAAATAAAAATAAATAAATGACACATATTAACGTTAAAATAATTCTTATTAATTTAATGAGTCTTATATTTAAAAAAATTAAAATATTATATACTTTTTTTTATTTTAATTTATTTCTACTTCAAATAACTTAATTTTCATTAATTAACTTTATTTTCAAAAATATTTTTTTTATGTATTTGTAATATTCTATAAAAATATCAATTCAATAAATATCAATGATAGTTTTATTTAAAATGCAAAGTGAAAAATATAAATGAAAGTAAAAAAATTACTTGGTAAACATATAATATGATAATTGCTAATTAAAATGACTTTTAATTTCTGGAACATAAAAATCTAATAACGCATATGCATATGTATACACACATATCTTGAAATTAAAGTTCATTTTCGTTACCAACAATTTTTTTAATTTTTATTTTAGGGTTTAGGGTTATTTTTAATTTAATATTTTGTATTTCATAAAAGTACCATATAGAGAATGGGGTATTTGCAATCTTAATTTCAAAATTTACACATTAAAAAATAGAAATGGATGTAATTAAAAGTTTTTGTTATAAACTATAGTTGAAATATAGAGAATATACATTCATCTATTAACATATTTAGGAAGATTTGATGAATTCTAGTCACCCTGGTAGTACATATTTGAACTAAGTCAATGAGTCTTGCGCCCAAAGGAACTATGCCAATCGCAAAAAGAAAAAAAAAATCGCATGCAAGTAAATGTTTGATCATCATTCTCCCAAAAAAAGCTTAACAAAAAGAAGAGCTAGGTTTTTTTTTTGGTGGATAACAAAAGGTATATGCCAAGAACAAAATCACTGAAGAACAGTCAATTTCTTTTTTCAGATCGACACATGTTGGCAAGTGGAAGAGTTATGTATAAGAGTAATAGACAGAATATAGCAATACTGAAATCTCATGTAAGATACTTAATTACAATCTAAAAAAATAAAGTCATGCCAACAGATTTGGTAACCTATTGTCAAATATATATATAATTCTACAACTAAAGATTAGAAAATTAATTTATTAATATTCCAAAGAATTATACCAATTGGTCAAAGTGAGAAAGAATTCAACGAAAGGTAATAAGAAAAAGAAATAATTATTTTGGTTGACCGGTCTATTTTGAATTATTATTATCTATACATCATATTATTTGAAAGGACTCGCTAAGTTTCTTTCTATAAATATTAACTAACATCCTTTTTTTATTATTAAATCATTATGTATGTTTGCATTAATTGGAAATATATAATATAGTTGTTTAAAAAACATTCATTTGATTGAATATTGCTGCATACATTAAAGTGTCAATATCAAAATTTATTTTCATAAAATGAAAAGACTTTAATGAGGATAACTTTTACAAATATTATTATGATATACACATGTACATAATAGTACATGTATAACAGTTCCTGTAATTGACAACATCTTCCAATTCTTTTTGGTCAGCAACCTTGACCTCATCAAATTAATCTTTTCCCTCTATTGTCAATACCATGTTTTTACATGAGGTGGTTTGACCACGAATAATTTCCTTTAATGGAAGATGCAATACTCATTCGTCTCTTGATAAATACACCTCTCACTGATCTTTACACAAAAGCACAACACAATACACCTTTCTCTCTTCAAATAATATTTTCATATTCTCTTTCTTAGACTCTCAACAATGTCAGAAAGAACAACCATAGGAGATGCCGTTGACAAAAAATTAAAGAGGAAGATGGAGGAGGAACCCACCATAGTTGAGGAGGACTCAGATCACGAAAGCACCACAATTTTCATGTTCCCACCTTTGAAACAACAAAAAATACTCTTGGGGGATTCAGGTTCTTCAAACCCTGTTGAGCCCTCAAAGGACCATGTGAAAGAAGAGAATCTACCAATCTCTTGCAAGTTTTGCAGTAAGAAGTTTCCCACGTATCAAGCCCTAGGGGGACATCAAAATGCTCACAAGAATGAGCGGTTCGTTCTGAAAATGAAAAATTTAGAGAATAACGCTTTTAGGTTTGGACCTAATAAAAATATGCACCTCTATCCCTATTCTCTTTCAACCATGCCAAACATTCCTTTACAACTCCCACCATTATTTTATCATGGTGCACACATGCTCCCCAATCCCATGGTTCACATGCCTAACATGTATGGCACTCTTGCAACTCCTAGCTATGGCACTAACCAAGGATTTTCCCATGCACCACGCAATTTCGGGATGACGAGTTCTTGGGGTGGAGGGGCTGCAAGGTCTCCATGGAGATTGAACACACAAAGTGTAGGGCGATGGCTGCAAAATCCTTCACTTGCTCAGGGTGCATTTAAAAGTTCCCTTGGTGGTTCTTCTTCTCGGGTTGGTGCTGATTTTGGTGGTCTTCAAGGAAATCCAACTATGTCAACTAAAGATAATTCGCCTTCAGAAGATGCGGATTTGTCTCTCAAACTTTGAATTTTTTTTCATCTTAGGTGTATTTTGACATAGAGTTCAACTGCTTGGCTTTGTGTACTTATTTTTAATTAAATTAATAATAATTCATTATTATTTCTTTTCTTAATGGATTAGATCCATATGTTGCACTGCTATTACTTTTACCACCTTTATTTCTTTACTCCTCTCTCTCTTGCTCCGACTCAACCACAAAATGTAATGGAAGTTTAACATTATTTAGGAACAAACTACTACGAAACATTTTTCATTCAAAAAATAAAAGTTATCTTAAATATGGAATTAATCAAATCTTCTATCTATTCCTCTGTGGATTATCTTCTTGAATCAAATCATTTCACTTGTTCAACTCAACACATGTATTTATATTCGTGTACATTAAGCTTTTTTAATTTATAATTGAATCTAATTTCTAGTTCTTTCAAAAAACAATTTTTGGATACATATATAATATTTTTTGATGAGCTTTTGGATACACAATATGTTATTTGAACATATATGGTGAGAGAGAAAAATATGATTTGTGTATGACCGCTATTTAACATGAAGAATAATCCCCAAATTGTATGAGGTAGATTGTTTTTAAAGAACAGAGAAATATTAAATCAAATAATTTAAGAAGTAAATCCCCATTTTCTAAGAGGGTGATGAGTTTTCAGGTTCTTAAGTATTTGCAACAACTGCTTATTACCTTGTAATTGTATGATGGCTCGAATGACCCTAAAAATCATTTGGTTGCCTTCAAGTTGGCACACTCATACAAAGGAACCACGACTTGATGTGAATTGGTTCCAGTTACTCGATGAATTCGTAGGCTGATCTCAAAGAAAGGTTTTGAGTTGCATTTATGACAAGCTACAAACACTACAACAAAATTTAGTATTACCGGCAATTATTTAATGATAATAAATTAATTACTTCTATTTTATTATTTAATAAAAATATTAGTGACTATTATATAATGGTCACTAAAAATATATTTATATCACATCAAAATTTACTATTAACAACAATTATTTGTTAGAAAAAACTTAAGTCTTACATCGATTAGAAATAAAATAATTAAAGAGTATATAGAATGATAACTCTCACTTTACAAGTATGTTTTATAAGGTTGAGTTAGGCCTATAACTTACTATTCTAAGTTGGTAGGAGATAAGATAATTAAAAAAATTAAAGAATATATACTTAGAAGATAACCTTCATCTTCTAAGTCTCACATCAATTAGAAATAAGGTAACTAAAGAGTATATGTACTTATCTTACAAGTCCTACAGCGACTAGAAATAAGATAATTAAAGAGTATTATAAATCTTTTCTTAAACTTTTAGCAGCAATTTTAAATGCCAGTAACAAATGACACAAAAAATTATACACTTTTCCCGACTATTATGAGGGTCCTTACCAGCAATTATACACTTTTAGGAACATTGCATACAATGGTTAATGTGTGAAATGCCAGTAAAAAATTTTGTAACAATTTTTATTGCCACTAAAATTTATATTAAATGTCATTAAAAGTCTATTTTATTGTAATAAAAGTTGAGGCCAAAGATACTTATATAGACCTTATAGTGTGTTTGGTTCATCGTCAAAAGCCTTTAAACCGCAATTGAATATAAAAGTAACAAATTTTTACTTTTTGTTTTTCTGCTTTTTGGAAAGAAAGAATATTCGTTTGCATGTATAAGGGGTATTTTAAACATGTACTTAAACGTATTCGTGAAGGGGGAGCCCTCGAAGGAATAAACTTTTTTAAGGAAATTACTATTAGATGTAACTAGTTTTTTTTTTTTCATTTCTCTATTGTCTTTTCTTTCTATATATTGCATAAAAAATATTCAAATTTATATAAAAAAAATATTACCACATATAATTATTTTTAAATTTTACTTTATATATCATAATTTATATATTTTAAAATCACCATCACAATGTAAAGAAATTTATTATTTAAAGTTCAAAACTTAAAGAGGAAAAAAAGAGTAGAAATACATGTAAAAACTACACAAAACAAACCATGGCTATAATATTTTTTATTAATTAAATTAAATTTAAGAAATTCAAATTCCATAATATTTTATATTTTATTATTTTTATTTCAAAAAATTAATGAATTTCTATATTACCTTAACATAAAACACACTTATACAAAAAAAAATTAGCTATAAGTATTTTTATAAAATCACTTATTAAAATAGTAATTGTAAATATATTTTAATATTAATGTGAGATATTAATAAATAAGAATATTTTTAAAACTAATTAATATTTTTTAATTTTTATAAAATAATTAATATTTTCAATAAATTATGTTTTAAATGATATTAAATGTAAAACTTTTGCATAATTCTTGCTGAAAAAATTAATTTATATCCAGTTCAAATAAAATCCTCTACATATTTTCATAGCATATTGTTTTTAAATATTTTTATTTATTTTTGGCTTTTATTTTTACTTTTTTTTGGATTGTATAATATATAAATTGATGTTGTTCATGTGTGTGTGCATGTAGATTGTAGGCAGTAACTGAGTGACAAGTCTAGAAAATTTTCTTCATTAGTTTGGACAAAAACATAATCTATATTATTACAAAATAAAAATATTATAAATTTTTATGAAATATATAATCTTAAGACAAATAATTTAAACTGGTCAAATTTCTACAAATCACAATTATTCTCTACGCATTTTCATATTTTAAAAATATTGTATGATTTTTTCATGGTCAATGCTTTAAAAAAAAAATAGCTATCTCTATATACATTACAAAAAAAATTCAATTATTTATCTCTCATATGATTTTTTTTATTCATTAAAATTATATTGACAACAACAAATTCAAACCTAAGATTACATACATGTTATCCCAAAGAAACATCATAGAATACAAATAAACATAAAATACACAATATGCTTTCGTATCCTTACCATCATTCCAATATAAACAGTTTACTTTCTTTCAATCATTTTTTTCCCGAAGTCTCGTGTCAAGTAAATTTGTTTGTGTGTATCTACATCACAGACTCAATTTTAATGACTAGTAGAAAATGAGGCTTTTACGTCATCTCTTTCTCATCAGACTTAATAAAAACCGACATAAAAAAAATGCAGTGACATTTTTATAATTTTTGTGAACTTGGTCCGACGTAAAATGTACAATCTACGTCGGACACAACATACAACCGACGTATATTTTATATTTTACGTCGAACCATACCAAGTTCGACATAAAAAAGTAGCAAAAGCGAATAAAAAGAGTGCATGGGAGGCACGCGCACGCACGCACTCACTCGGATCTCATCACTTTTCTTGATTCTTCTCTGTATAAACCCTCTCCTTCTCTCCTTTGTTGCTAAATCGTTTTTTATATCTTTTGCAGAGTGGGGTGAACTCTTCGTTACTCGTTCGAACATTGTTGCAGCTTAGGTATGAATCGCTAACACCTTTTTGCTTCGCATTGCTATTGTGGCTATTTGTTCTATTCGGTTTTTATGTTGTTCTATTTGTTTGGGTTGTTGGCTTTTTCTGCTGGGTTGTTCTATTAAGCAGAACGGCCCGTTCTCCAAGCAGAACGGCCCGTTTTGCTTGCACTCATTATGTTTTTTTTTTGTTTATAACTTTTTTATGTCGGATCTTGGCAATGTCTGACGTAAATTTACGTCGGATTTCATAGCCAACGTAAATTTACGTCTCCCGCTTTAACGTCGGACTTTTTTCTAACATAAAAAGCTTATTAATCTGATATCAACTTTTTAATTTTTAATCTTTATTTTAAAAAAAATATGTTATAAATACACATCTAATTTTTTATAAGTCATTTTTATTTTATTCAATATAATATACATAAAAAATATATAAAAATTTATAAATACTAGAGCGCGTTTTTTCAAATAATGAATATTGAATACGTAGGTTTTTTTTTTCCAACATAAGAACAAGAATAATTTTAAATTATTTAATTATTTATTATAGATAATTTTGATTGTTTTTAATGTCTATTTTAAATTTTTTTTACACAAAGTTATATGTTTTCAACGAAATAGTTTATAAATTTGTCTTGAATTATAAGATTTAATATTTTCCTTTTTTTGAGGTCAATTAAAACATAAGAAGAATACATACCTCGAGGACGATAAGTCCAATGCTGAAGTAAACCGAATATAGTCTATATTACATGCCCTACCCCAAGCAAAGTAAATCCAAGTTGATCAAAGACTTTGACCGACCTAGAGTGAAAGGGGAGTACACAGAAGGAGAAAATGGAATAATCAGAAGAAAGAGAGATTATCAGAGAGAATTGAGGCAAAAACTATTATCGTGCTTTTATTCCATCATCATTTCTGCCTATATAGTGCCATACGCACTACATGCAACGTAAAAAAGGAATCAACGTTTGTTAGTCGTGCTCCCATATTGCCTAACCGTTCCTTACGAGGTTGCCACGTGGTTAATTGGTTACGTAGTCTTTGAGCCAGAAGGGTTTGCTCCTGATTCTCTGGGTTCTGGTACCGGCTTCTAGGCTCTCTTGTGCATGCTGATTTTCTATGATGGGCCCCACATTTGTGGTATCAGTAATGGGCCTAACATCTCCTTCCCCATCGAGAGTCACCTTGTCCTCAAGGTGGAACTGGGCCTGAATTTGAGACCAAGGCTCCCAACTTGCCTCTTCCAAAGGAAGTCCTTCCCACTGAATCAAGACCAACTTTTGTGGGTTGGTGGTATCTGAGGACATCTTCCAATTGAGAATAGCAACTGGAGTAAGAATGGGTTGGTTGTCTTCGATCTCCTGAGGGAGGTTGAGTGGTGGAGGGGATGGAAGCGGTCCATGGTGAGGACGAAGGAGGCTGATATGGAAGACATTATGTATTTTTGCAGATGGAGGGAGGTCCAGTCGGTAGGCAACTGCACCAATCTTCTCAAGCACGCGGAAGGGACCAAAAAACCGTTTCTGCAACTTGCCAAGGTATTGGCCCGTGACAGAGCTTTGGCGGTGAGGGCGGAGCCTGACATAAACCCAATCACCCACATCAAAACTGAGGTCACGGCGGTGGGAGTCGGCCCAATGTTTCATGTTCTCTTGTGCCTTGAGGAGGTTGGAGTGTAACTTTTTCATGATCTCCTCGCGGGAATGGACCTCAAAATGAGCTGCTGCATTAGTTGTTTCCGTGTTCAAAATCTGAGGAATGGATGGAGGGGGATGGCCAAACATGACTTCGAAGGGGGTGTAACCCGTGGAGGAGTTAAGAGAAGTATTAAAGCACCACTCTGCCCATGGTAGTAGCTTCCCCCATAGAGAGGGGCGATGATGAACAAAGCATCGCAAATATTGCTGTAGTATCTTATTTGTGACCTCAGTTTGGCCGTCTGTTTGCGGATGGTAAGCGGTGGACATGCGCAATTTAGTACCACTCAGACGGAAGAGCTCCCTCCAAAACTGACTGAGAAAGATGGGATCACGGTCTGAAATTAGACTACGGGGTAGGCCATGTAATTTGCAAACCATATGAGTAAAGAGGTCAGCGACCTTGGCAGCAGTAAAGGAGCGGGGCAACATACCAAAGTGCACTCCTTTTGAAAATCGATCCACCACAACTAATATAGTAGTGTGACCCTGATATGGCGGTAGTCCGATGATAAAATCGAGTGACAGATCCTCCCAACAGCGTGAGGGTGGCGGTATGGGCTGCAACAAACCGGGTGGGCGTTGAGTGGGGACCTTCGTTTGTTGGCATGTGGTACATTGTGCCACAAAGGTGAGAACATCTTTTCTCATATTCTCCCAATAAAAATTTTCTTGCAATTTAGCCAAGGTTCGAGTGACACCAGGGTGACCAGCTAAAGGAGTGGAGTGAAATTCGTGGAGCAACAGTTGGATCATTGAGCAAGACCTGGGCAACCATATCTTTCCTTTGTGGAGAATGAGGTCCTGATGAATTGAGAAATCAGGGAATGAAGAAGGAGCGTGCAAGAGTCGTTCCTTAAGGTCAAGGAAGGCATTATCGCTGCTAAGGCAGCGTTTGAGATCTTCGAGGAAGTCCATTTGGGTGATGGAGATGATGAAAAAAGAGTTTATCTCTGGGAGGATACGTGAAAGAGCATCAGCCATAGTGTTGGACCGGCCAGGTTTGTAATGGATCTCAAAATCAAACCCAAGTAATTTGGTTAAGTAGGATTGATCTGGTGTAAGAGCTGTTTGACTGAGGAGATCTTTGATGGATTGTTGATCAGTGTAAATAATAAAATGGCGTCCCAACAAGTACTTTCGCCACTTCTGCACTGCTGAGGTAATGGCACATAGCTCTCTGATGTAGGTAGAAGAATTGTGCAATTTAGGACAGAATTGCGCAATTTAGGACATAATTGCTTACTAAAGAATGCAATTGGATGTCCCTGTTGTGATAGAACGGCCCCCATGCCCGTGCCGGAAGCATCTGTTTGAACTGCGAAGACAGAATCGAAGTTTGGCAACGCCAAGACAGGTGCAGACGTAATTGCTGTCTTAAGAGCATTAAAAGCAACCGTAGCATGATCTGTCCACAAGAAACTATCTTTCTTTAGTAAATCAGTAAGGGAAGAGGCGATAGCGGCATACCTTTTCACAAAACGACGGTAGAAGCCTGTAAGCCCCAGGAATCCACGTAGGGATTTGAGGTTTAACGGAATCGGCCAGTCAATGATTGCTTGAACCTTGATAGGGTCAGGTGTAACCCCAGCAGCAGATACCACATGCCCCAAGTATTGAATCGATTGCTGCCCAATGTGACATTTGGACCCCTTGAGATGGAATTTGTTATCAAGGAGCAACTTGAATGCAATTTCGAGGTGGAGAATGTGGTCTTCCAAGGTAGAGATATAAACCAGTATATCGCCAAAGAAGACGATGATAAAACGACGCAGGTGAGGGCGGAAGAGGTCGTTCATAGTGGCCTGGAACGTGGATGGGGCGTTGCACAGACCGAAGGGCATCACCTTGAATTCGAAATGACCATTATGGGTGCGGAAAGCCGTTTTTGAGGAATCACTAGGCTTCATGAGGATTTGGTGGAAACCCGAGAAGAGATCAAGCTTAGAAAACCATGATGTTGTACCCAACTCATCTAAAAGCTCATCGATGGTGGGAATTGGAAATTTGTCCTTGACGGTGACGGCGTTGAGCGCACGATAATCAACGCAGAAGCGCCACACGTTCCATCTTTCTTTTTAACAAGCAAAACAGGGGATGAATAAGGACTGGTGCTTGGGGTGATGAATCCTGAATCCAACATTTTCTGTACCTGTAACTCAGTTTCTTGCTTTGGGAAGGGGGGGTAGGGGTATGGTCTAACCGAGATGGGTGAAGTGTTTGGTAGTAAGGTGATGGAATGGTCAGGGTAGCGGGATGGTGGGGGGCTGGAAGGGGTGGAGAAAAGGAACGAGTATGTGGTGATTAATGTTTGTAACGGAGGGATAGAGGTTGAGGGAAGTAGAGGTGCGTCAGAAGAAGGTGTTGTGGAAGTGGGAAAAAAGTGGAGATTGGGGGTTGGTTCTAGAATGAGTTGGAAAAGGGCTTCCACTCTGTTGGTGTTTTGCAGGCGTTTTAATTGATGGGTTGATATTGGAGTGGGATTCGGGCGTTGGTCTCCTTTAAGTTCCACCATCTTGTTTTCCCACATAAATCTTATGAAGGGCCCATTATAGTCCATGGTGAATGGGCTTATCTGTGTTAGCCATTGAACACCAAGGACAATATCAGTGCCCGAGAGGTCCAAGGGGTAGAGGTCAATTGGGAATTGTAGGTCAGCAATAGTGATGGGGATTTTAGGGCAGAATGTGGTGCAGGGCAAAAAGTCTCCATTGCCAACCATTACTCTTAATGGACAAGGTGTGGGCTCCAAGTGTAGATTTAAGAACTGGGCCACCTTAGTTTGGATAAAATTATGTGTAGCACCACTATCAACCATAATCTGAACCTCGTAGCCATTGATGGACCCAGTAGTTCTGAAGGTTCGCGGGGTCCATTGACCCGAAAAAGAATGAAGGCTAATCAAACCCGCTTCCAGAGGTGGGTCAGCCAATGGGTCAGGCTCCGGATCAATGTCAAGGAGAAGATCAATGTCGTCAGATTGATTAGTCCCGACAAGGAGAAGGAATTGAGTCTTACAACGATGGCCACGTGTATATCGTTCATCACAGTTGTAACACAAATTCTTATCCCGACGAGCCTGCATTTCAGCCTCCGTAAGACGTTTAATGGGAAGTTTGGTGGTTGGTGTAGGAAGGAGTGGAGGAAGTGGTTTAGTCACCGGCGGGGAAGGTGGTGGTCTGGGAAATTTGGAGAATGGAAATGGTTGAATTTTAGACTTATCATCGTGGAGTTTAGCGAATGCAACAGCTTGTGGCATGTCGGTGGGTTGTAAGGCAGTGACCTCCCGGCGGAGATGGGGCTTGAGGTCGGAGATGAAACAACTGAGATAGAAGCTTGCGGGGTAACCGGAGATGCGGTTAGCAATGGATTCAAATTCTGAGATGTAATCGGTGAAAGAGTGGACCTGAGAAAGCTTGCACAGGGCAGCGATTGGATCCTCAAACTTTGATGGTGCGAAACACAGTTCCAATGCACGGAGAAAGGCATCCCATGACGTGAGGAGAACGTTCTTGTGCATCCACTGGTACCATGCAAGTGCTGGACCTTCAAGATAGAAGGAAGCAATCTGTGTTCTCTGGTCTGGTGGTGTCATGTGGAAGTCAAAGAACTGAGTTATTTTGAAAATCCAGCCTAGTGCGTCTTCACCGTTAAAGGATGGGAGGTCAAACTTGATGGGGCATGGTGGTGGGGGTGGTGATGTGATTTTGGATTCCATGAAGGAGGTGCGTGCAGCGATGTCATGGAGGGTGTTAGAGAAGTTGGCTTGGGCAAGGAGAATTTGTTCAAAGCTTTTTTTCGAGAGAGGAAATGGAGTCAGAGGAGTCAGCCATGGGAGGATGCTCAATGAAAGCACCAATGAAAGGGGAGTACACAGAAGGAGAAAATGGAATAATCAGAAGAAAGAGAAATTATCAGAGAGAATTGAGGCAAAAACTATTATCGTGCTTTTATTCCATCATCATTTCTGCCTATATAGTGCCATACGCACTACAGGCAACGTAAAAAAGGAATCAATGTTTGTTAGTCGTGCTCCCATATTGCCTAACCGTTCCTTACGAGGTTGCCACGTGGTTAATTGGTTACGTAGTCTTTGAGTCAGAAGGGTTTGCTCCTTTCTCTGGGTTCTGGTACCAGCTTCTAGGCTCTCTTGTGCATGCTGATTTTCTATGATGGGCCCCACGTTTGTGGTTTCAGTAATGGGCCTAACATCGAGACTATTTAATTATAAATTTATAATTATATCTTAGTATTTTTATTATAAAAAAACTCTAAAAGAAAATTTTTAGTTTGTATTTAAACATACTTAGGTGGTTAATTACGTTATCTTCCACATCGCTGTATTCTGTAATAAACAATACTCATACGTAGATAACAACTTCGTATGTTCCAATGATTGCTGGCATGTTTCAGTGTGGGTGCATCATGTCCCACAAACCCTTTCCCCAAGTGCGACTACTGGTGGACTCTATTTCATAAGTTTGAAGTTTCCAATTCCAAGTATATATGGAACGATGGTACCTTCCGTGAGGATAAATAATCCTTTACTACAGTGGGACTCATGAGTTCAAATAAACTGAATATTGAATAGGTATTTTAAAATTTATTTCATTATAAGAATAAGAATAACTTTAAATTGATTTAATTATTTTTATTATAAATATTTTTGAAATTTTTTTTATGCCTATTTATGTTTTAGATGTTTATTACAAAATGTTTCATGTTTTAATGAAATAATACATAAAATTGTCTTAAATTATTTAATTTAATAATATTTTCCTTTTAATATTGGTCAAGAAATAAAATTAAGACAATTTTATCTTATAATACATAATGAAAGGTTCGGTCTGAGTCTTTAATCACTTGTGTCAACACACATTAACTTATTTTTATCTTATAATACATAATCACAACTAAACTTTTATTTATTTTCAATTCGAACTGCAAAAATTAAAATAAAAAAAACTTTAAATTCAAAATGACAGTTTTTTAATAAATGAAAAAATTATTCGAATGTCTACTACGTAGTCTGTTGGGGCAACTCGAAGACGAACGAGTCGAAATACTTGCAAGATTCCTCGAAAGAGATTATAAAGGCACGCGTCTACCAATGAACAAATGGGTAATTGTTTGAAATGGGACATTCGATGTGCTCGAAAAGTAGTAACATAGTCCAAAGTACTTACAGTCATACAAGGAGAGTTAACGACTGGGTCGAGAAGTTAATTTACGTGAGATAAGCGGTTGTGAGAAGTTACAAGTTAAAACCACGTGGTGAGCATAATGGGCAGCGGTTATCCCCTAATGATGTACATGCACGAAATTAACTGCCCCTAATTAATTCTATAAATACAAGTACTACGCACCTTAACAAAGGTCGGAAAACTCATACTCTAACCAAATTCTGAAGCATTCTCTGCCTGCACATATGGCTTCCATGCAAGGAATCATCTTTGGGTATGATTACTTCTCGGCCACTTGTCTTTTCTCTTTTTAGGAGTAGGATTAGTGTAGTCTTTCTTTTCTCTTCTCTCCCTTTAATTACGTAGTTATAGACTTTAATCTTGTAATGCTTGAACATTATGTAATTTGAACATGATTTGTATTGCGAATGTATACATTGTTCATTCTATTCATATTGTTATTTGCATGCGGGAACATTGCTTGTTTGTTTTAATCGAAGAACATTTCGAAACAAGTAGTTACTAAGACTTTTTCATCCTACTCTCCATTCTCGGTAACACGATAACACAGTAAAGCACCTAAATTGAAATACGTTCGTGTGCTAGTCTAAATAAAAAGAACCCAGGATTTGATGGTTAATTCTACCGTAAACATAATCCTAATTATTTTATCTAGATTCAGGACAATTCTTCTTTTGTTAGACTACTTGTTCATAATTTATTTGTTATAAATAATTTTTTGTACTTAGAAATAATATTTTCACAATATTTTCATTTTATCTTCGTGATTTAGTGATGGCCAGAGAAAAGTGTGAAAACTAAGAAAGTAAGTTGGTTAAAGGTTATATGAATAAGATTTTCGAATAAGTTTTGTTAGTGTCTAAATAAAGTTTCAAATCGTTAAAAAAAGAGGATGAATTTATAAGTACACATATAATTGAAAAAAATTTCTCACATGTTACCAAGTGAAATTTACTAAATCTTCTTTTACAAATTTTTGGGCGAAATTAGATAAACTCTACTTATTGAGTTTTTCAGTAAAACTTGATACAGACGACTATCTCACCCATTTAAGGCAATAACCCTTTCTATAAATATGATGATTTTTTTAATTTCAAAATCTTTTTTTTATAGTAAAATTTGGTAAAGTCTCCATTATATAACTTTTTTTCATTTAAGCCAATGATCCCATGTACAATTGCTAAGAAACTCTTTGAATTAGATTATAGGGACTGTCCCAATGAAGGGAGAAATCAATATTAAAATTATTTGAGTATATGTCAAATAAATTTATTCTTACATATATTATATTTATAATAACATTTTCTTTTTATGTACATAACATTTTTTATTATATTTTCTTTCTCTTTCCCCACGGTCTTCCACTCATTTCTCCATTTTATTTATTTATTTTGTGTTGTAGGGTGGCTTAGGGATGGGCGACAGCACGAGCATATGAGGCCGTAACAGGAGCACATGCGGTAACAAGATGGATGAGGGTTGAGAAATTTTAGTTGTTGGTGGGAGCAAGAAAAAAATTAATGAGGGGGAAAAAAGGGTAACCTAATGGAGGAGAGGAGAGTTGCACTACAATAATAGTAATGACAAAAATTTCGCGGCTTTTTCTTTTATCAGGTTGACTTAATTAGGGATGACAAAAATATTTATATTCATAAATAGATAAAATTTGTTACGGATAATAAATGAGTAGTCTAAATAAATATCCGCAAATAATGGGTACGAATATTTTTCTACTCATTTATAAATGGGGCGGAGGTGGATATGATAATATTCATACTCGCGAGTATCTGTTTAATAAAAATTTTTAAATTATGAGACTTATGTATTTTAATTTATTGATTATCTTGTATTTTTTTAATTATTTTTAATATCAACAAAATTAACATTAAATGCAAGTTTAAAAGTTAACATCAATTTTTAATTTTTAGCATTTCAATAACATCAAATTCAAACTTAAAATTATTTGTAATGTGATTTTTTTTATTTTTTAAAAAATCATAATTATCTATGCATATCCATGGATACCTGCATATATTCAAAAAGTTCATAGATACTCACTTAATGAATACCTGCATAGATATAGAGCAGGTACGAGATAGAATTTTAATTATCCTGTGGGGCGGGGAGGAGTATACTACTACCCGTTCCCATAAAGTCGCATTGTCATCCCTAGACTTGACTGAACCCAATTACATATTTTAAAAAGAGGATTTTAGAAAATAAATAAATAAATGGATGGTTGATGTAGATGCACAAAGTCTTAAGTTTGGTTCTCCTTGTTGTTGACTAATAAAATAAATAAGAACAAAAATGATATGTATATATTATTTGTACAATAATTTTCTAACAAAAGCTGACAACTTCAGTGGTACTATTTCATATATATGTACATATATTTATATAAATTTGTTATGTATGGAGTTTTAAAGTAAACTAAAAGTAGATAAATTGATGAATAATGAATATGGAATGTTATTATAACAAATAAATATAGTAGTGATCATGGTGAAGTTAGATTAGGTTGATTTAAGCTTATTTTTATTTATACAAATTTTCAAATTTTTTACTAAATCATTTGTTTAAAATTCAAATTTGACTCAATCAAACTTAAAAATATATGGTATTCAAACTTTTTACCAAATCATTTGTTTAAAATCCAAATCTAACCCAATCAAACTAGAAAATATATGATAATATTGTGTTTTAAACATAAATTGAATTAAGATGACTCCAAAAATAATCTAAACGTATGTACAAGAAATATTACATATAGTGACATACAAAAAGTGTCACTATAGATATAATATATGTAGATATATGTCTATTTGACATATAGTTACACACAATTTTAGTGTTGATTTTGAATGAGATTTAACAACATATTTTGTGTGTCATTATAACATATACCCACACTTTTTAATAATATATCAATATATATTGTAGTTATTGTGTGGTTAAAAGTAATTTTTAATGACATGTATAGTGTCATTATAGGGTGTGTGTATCACTATATGACAATTTTTTTTTGTAGTGTGTGTCCTAGAAAGAACATTAATTGGATCAAATTTTAAAGTTTTAACTAGTACAAATCAACTTTAAAACATCCTTACTCATAGCGATAAAGATATATGTCATAATTAAATCATACTAAATGATTTTATTTCATTTAGATTCCGTTAATAGGTCAAATCCTTTTTTTCATCGAACTTTCTTAAGACATTTATATATTATTTCCTTACAAATATACTTTTTTAATTATAAAATTTAAAAATACCTTCAGGAATTTTTGTTAATATAACTTTTTATTCATGATTTTCTTTTAAATTTAAAAATAAATATTTAAAAGTTAACAAACATTAAAACTGTTATTATAAAAAAGAAAATGTAAAAACAAATAAATTTAGCTCAAATGACTCGGAGAAATCAAAATTTGAATATTTTTCTGATTTTGTTTTAAGTAACGGCAAAATATTAAGCATTCATATAAAAAAAAACGTAAATATATGGTTCAAATATATATGTTTTTATTATGTCTGTGCTTCTTTCCATTAAACAAAATGCCTTTCTTTTAATATTATTAACATTATTTAGAATATAAGTTACCTATTTCTTATTCGGAAAAATTTAAAAGTAAAAAAATAATTTTATCTCCCCTCACACTTTAGCAGTAAATACTTTATAATGATATCATAGTTATCCTAAAAATTTATTTTGTCTCCAAAATTCTCATTCGCTAGAATATGGTCTGCGAATTTTTATGGGTATGAATTAATTCTTAAATTTACAAAACAGCATTTTGTAAGATTAATAGCAAAATGTACATGCGTGCCTAAAGTAAAATGACAAGACATCAAAGTTTTAGCGACAAGTCCAAATCTGCTGAAGGTGAATCTGTTGCTGCGATAGTTGGAATTCTCCGAAGACCACCAAAAGCAGCACCAACGCGAGAAAAAGAACCATCAACGGAAGGTTTTGCTGCACTCTCAGAAAGTGAAGGATTCTGCAAGCATAGCCCTACACTTTCGGTGTTCAATAATCTCCATACACCCCAAGAACTTGGAATTCCATTGTTAGTGCCATAACCAACTGTGGGTGGTGCAAGATTACAAGAAAAGGGTGTCGATTGCATGGGAGTACCATTTGGCATAGGTGAAAATGAATTTAGATAAAATTGAAAATTTGTGGGTCTAAACCCTAAAGGGTTCTTCTCTAGCTCTTTTTTCGCATTGAAGAAGATTCGCTCCCTCTTGTGAGCCTTCTGATGGCCCCCGAGTCCTTGAGCATTGAGAAACTTCTTTTCACAAAATTTGCACGAGAACTGAGTCTCTTCTTGAACTTGGTCATTGGTGGGAGAAGAACTTGAATCCCTTGTGAGCAAGACTCTCGGTGATTTTGTATGTGTATTGAACATTGAGGAGGGCAAGTTCATGGTGGTGTTGGTGCTTTTTCCATATCTTAGGCACAGTAATTGTTCTGCCGTGTCCTCTTCTGTCATGGTGGACTCTTCTGCCATCTTGCGCTTCAATTTTCTGTTTCTAACGTCTCCCTTAGCCTTCGACATTCTTTTTGATATCGTTGAGAGAGAGCCTAAGAAAGAGATGTTAAAAAGTATTTGCAAAGAAAAAAATTGGTGTGTGTGGTGCTTTTGTGAAAGAAAGAGAGGGGTATTTATTAAGAGAGGATTGAGCATTGTGGCTTCGATTGAAGGAAATATATATGTGTGGTCAAATCACCTGATGCAGAAGATGGTAATGAAATTAAAAGGGGATCATAGATTTAATGATTTCATGGTGAATGAGCAAAATATATACTGCCCATTAGGGCAACTGTATACACAATCTAATTGCTAGGGTTGTATCGATTCACATGATCGAAATTATTTGGTAATACAGGGTTAAAGAGTTTCCAGCTAGTACTTTTTGTTTATAACAATTGGCAGGCTAGATTCTAATGAATTAAAGTTTTGGGGACTATAATTCTTTATTTACTTTGTTTTTCGTATAATAAACGGAAAAGTTATATACCAAATAATGTTAATAACTATAATGTTGTCCTAAAAATGCTAATAATGTTGACAAAAGAGAAATTTTTTTAATGGGTGAAATAAAGACAACCAAAAACAGAAAATATTTGACCCAATTTAAGTCGTTTTCATTATGAATATTAATATTGTATATATGACTATTTCTTAAAAAAATTCCAAAAAAAAAATAAAATTCAAATTTTGTTTCCTCCCGATCACTTGACCTAAATTTATTTCATTTTACGGTGTTTACCTTTACAAGAGTAAATTTTAAATTGTTTTAATTATTTCTTATAAATTTAAATGTTTATTATGAATGAAAGGTTTTATAAAAACAAACTTTAAAAGTTTTTAATTAATGTCTGAATTAAATTTTTATTATAAAAACTAGATATTGTAATGAAATAAGTGTATATAATTTTGACCTAGCTAAATTATTTGATTTACTATTTTTTGACCAAAGATTGTGACATATAAGGATGAAATCTAATGTTGTCGAAGTGGGTCACCTAATTCAGCTAACCATTGTTTAGACAATAGATAGGTTAATCCAACTTGATTTAACTTTTAGTGAGGCTAAGAAAATCAACTTGATTATCTCACTACAAGTTGATGAATTAAATGGGCAGTCTCATTTAATACAAAAAAAAAATGACTTAAATTCACTTTTAATTCTTATAATTCAAAGGATGAAACGATTTTCTTTGCCTCTAGCTAGAACCTATCTCTTTAATTTCTCTTTAGATTTCTTAAGAAAATGAACTTATAAAGTTTAAATCTTAAGAAAAACTTATATACATTTTCTTATACTTAATTAACTTTAACATCAACTCAAAACAACTCCCAAAAATTAAACTCATTAGAATTTCTTTAATTTTAGAGTTCTAAAACATTAAAATCACATAACACATAAATCATTACTTAATAAAATTAAATAAACAACCGTACATTTTCAGTGTTACAAAAAGTACTTTTTTATGTTTTAGCACTTATCCTAAACTTGAAGAGAAAAAATATATTTTTGAAAAGTGTGTGCTTTTAAAAAATAATAAATATATTTTTGAAAAGTACTTTTTAAAAGAATAAAGATATACGTTTGAAAAATACTTTCTAGAAGAGATCAAATATATTTACTCTTCCAAAAAGTAATTCCCTAAAGTATATCTTTTGTCTTAGCACTCACTCTCAACTTAAAGAGTAAATTTTTTTTTCTTTCAAAAAGTATTTTCGAAAAACATATTTTAAAAACCATAAAACACAATTTCATATCAATAATAATAAAAATATATTCTTCCTAATCAATGATTCATCATAAAAAGACATAAGTCATGTATTTGAAAACGATGTCTTAAAAAAGTTTACAACGTTGTATCCAATGGAAGATAGGATGAAAAATATTAGTGTTTAAAAAATAATAAAAATGAAAGTGAGTTTTTTGATTACTAGAGAGAGAAAAAATAGAGGAAGAAGAGAAATAAAGATGATTTTTTGAAATAAAATTTATTTTTAAAAGAAAACAAATTAGAAGGGCGTTTAAATATTTTTTGAAAAACCACTAAGTTAACCTGGTGGTGGAAGGTTAAAGTAATATACATAAGATTCTAAGTTCAAACTTTGTTGTTATTATATTTAAAAAATATTAAAAAATCATTAAGATCAACTTAATGATAAAAGATTAATATACCGTATGGTGGCCAACTCGCCCGAATACCCGAGACCGTTGCTTATGCCGAGGACCCGAACCCGCTGACCACCCCCAGATGGGGCGAAACGTGTCGGCGGAGTCGGCCGAGTATGTCGGCATCATCAAGATGGTTACGGAGAGATTAATTAACATAATGCATAGGATTAGACCCCTAATTTTTCGGGGCCCAGTCCCTAATTGCGGCCCAATAAGAACTACTATAAATAGGACCCTAACGAGGTATGTAATTAATTCTGAACTACTGCATTTATTACGTCGAGCACTAACTTGAGCGTCGGAGTGTCTTTGCAGGCACACTCACCCTTGACTTCGGATTATCCGGATAGGAACGAGAAGACCGAGATCCAGGACCAGACCCGCTACAACAAGGATAATTAATGTGTATCCTAATACAGGAACAATTAAGATAGTATATACAGGATCCTAAGTTAAAACTTTATTATCATCATTATATTTTTAATAAATTTAAATAAAAGAAAATAACAAAAGAAGTATATATAACTTTTATCTTTTAATTTTTCTTCAAGCACTTTAGAAGCCCAACTTTTTTTCCCTAATTAAATTTTTTTTCTCATGTTTCACGTTCATTATTTTTCAGCTAAAGTAAAATCCTAGGTTAGGCCCATTTTTTTTAATTTGGTATTTTAATTTTTTTCTAAAGGCCAATTTACACTTTGGATTACCATCACCGAAGCCAATCTTTATTCGTTCTTTTTGTTTTGCACAAATGCTATCTGAAATTCATTCAAGGTCAATGTTGAAATAACTCATTTTGACAAATGACAACTATAGTAAATTATAAATATTAAATATAATAATAAGAAATTTTCAAATTTATATATTTATGTTGATTTATATTTATCCATCTTTTACTTAATTGGATCAGGATCAGCGAGTCAAAGGTTAAACCGATGTGTCATTAATTGAATTGTATGACCCAATTTTTATTAATTTTTTTTTTAAAATATTCATGTTAAATATATTTTATACTTATAAATTTCAATAAACTCATATCCTATTTTAAATTTTAATTTTTATTGTATTTAAAATTATCTTTATTTTTATTTTATATAAAGAAATACATATAAAAAATTACATGTTAAACTATATATTAATACAAATTAAAAATATCAATAATATGTATATATATAATATATTTGTAATTGATTTCACAAAATAATATATGTAATATCTACATAGATATTATATTATTAAATATATAATTTAAAATTAATACTATACTATAAAAATTATTTAAGTTGCATATATATATTACAAACAAATATATTAGAATAAGTGGTTATTGTTATTTTTGTGGTTTTGTGATCCCTTAATATATATATATCTGTGTGTGTGTGTGTGTGTGTGTGTCATTTTTGTTGGTATGATGTATAAGCTTTGATATAGAGTAATATCTTCATCTTTCTCATAAAAATTTAATGATATGTAAAAAGGGTAAAATTTTTCTAAAAACTATATAAATAATAATTTTATTTCAATATTTTAGTTAATAATATATTTTATATTTAGATGTCAAAATTATCATAATTTTATACAAGTAAAATTCTGAATGTAAATTTTATAATATATATTATATAAATTAACATATATACATTATAAATATGATATAATAATATATATTGCGATATAAAATAATAATATATAATATATATTGCTATATATTTTATAAATTAATATTTAATATGTACATGTTAGATTTATTATATATAATTTTTTTATTTTATATTATGTAACAATAATAAACGATAATAATAACAATATAAGACATAATGTATTAAGAAAGAGGAAGGAGAGCTGATTCAATCTTGTTTTTTTTCTAATCATCTAAAATGTAAAAGAAATAAACAAATTGAAATTACTCTTCATAATTCTTTATATGAAAAAATTTTAAAAGATCAAAAGTGAATTTGAAAAATATTTGAGGGATTAAAAGTAACTTTTATCCCAAATGAAAATTAAAAGTACAAATCAACCTAAATATTTTTAAATATTAATCAATTTAATGTTAGGTCATAATCAATGTTACAATTTTAACGTTCAACAAATAAATAACACAAAAATAGTAGATTCTAAAAATCGAGGTATTAAAGTTGAGAAATTAAAAATAAAAGTACCGAAGTTATATATTTCATATTATAGAAGGACTAAAACTTCAATTTAGCATTTCAAATTTTAGTTATATTCATCTTGATTCTTTTAAATTTTAATTGTTTTCGTTCTCGGGCTCTCAAATTTTATTTCCTATAATTTTTTGATTTTTTTATTTGATCTCTATAATTTTTTTAATTTTTTTTCTATTAGATTTAAAATTCAATCAAACAACAAGAATGAAAAAGAAATAATTTTTTTTCTATTAGATTTAAAATTCAATTAAACAGAAAATGAAATAAAAAAATTATAAGTAAGTAATTCAAGAAAAAAAAAGTACTATAAACAAAAGCCTCTTATGGACGAAAAAATTATTTAAACCTTAATATTTGAACATGTTTCAAGGACATTTTTAAAAGAAAAATATTTATAAGGACAAAAGTATATATCTAAAAAAAAAGCAGAAAAAACAAGGAGATTATAAGAAAAAGGATAAACCTATTAATATTATATTTGCTTTTTAGTTTAGAGTTAACCATACTTAGGTTTAATTACATTAATATTAATTATAAATTTTTATACAACAATATAAATAAAATATATGTAAAAAATTATAAAAGTTATAGATTGCTTTAGTATTTCATATGGACATAAAATTACGTCATGTTGTAGTGTCTGCAATAGTTGCAATTGCAGTAACAACATTTGTGACCTTAACTGTAATTTTAAATCTTGATACCATATATGTCCCAATATATATATTAACTTATATAAAATTAAAGAGGAGGAGTATCCTTTCATGAAGAGACAACGATTTATTTATGTCTCTTCATAAAAAAATCATGTCCATTCAAACCATACCTTTTTATGAATAGTTGTAACGATTCATTCATTTCTCTTCATCAAAAGTCATGCCCATTCAAACTATATACCATTTTACAAAGAGTTGTAGCAACCCATCATAGATTTCAACAAATGGTTTGACAAATCAACGGAAGACTAACACTTAGAAATATAAATTACTAGCATGGAAAACACATGAAGTTAAGACAAACTCATAGTCGTTACCATTCTCGGCCGTTATTTGATTAAATTGAGTATGAAATATTGACCAATTGCTACGGTTGCAACATTTTGTTTTGAAACTATGGGTTGGATATAAACCCCAAAGAAGCGACAAAAAAGAAAACATTTGTTCACAAAATTATTATTAGGTGTATAACAACCTTCATATAGTATAGTGTAACACTGCATATATAAAGTTGTACTAATCTACAACTCTTCCTATATCCATTAACTCATCAACTCTATCTTAATTTCGTAACCATATCTAGAAAATTTTTCTATGGGTCATATATATGTTCCTTTTATGGAAGATGCAATGTTGACTTGTACCTTAATAAATATCCCTCGGCCTCTCACAAAACCATATAACATACATACAAAGTTAATTTCTCTGCAAGTATTTTCATCTTGTTGAGGCTCTCAACAATGTCAGAAAGAGTATCCATTAGAGATGTTGAGAACAAAAAGTTGAAGCGTAAGATTGAGGAGGAGCCACCCACCTTGGCCATGGAGGACTCAAATCTGTTTCTGAATCAACTCAGCTGTAAGTTCTGCAACAAGAAGTTCCGCAATTCTCAAGCCCTAGGAGGGCACCAAAATGCTCACAAGCGTGAGCGACTCCTTTTAAATATTGAGAAAGAGCTTGAAATGAAGGCTCTTGAAAATGTTCCACTTTATTCACCTCCAACGTATCTTCCATTTCAAGGGACACCCTTGTATCATGGTGCTCTCATGCACCCCATGAAGCACATGCCTAACATGTCTTTCACTCTTGCACAACCTAGCTATGACATTAACCAAGGGTTTCCCCTCGCGCCACATTTTTTTGGAATGACAAGCACTTCAGGTGGAGGTGATGCAACATTTCCAACGATATTGAACACTGAAATTGAGGGGTATTTTTACCAGATTCCTTCACTTGTTGAGAGTGCAACTACAAGTCTGGTTGGTGGTTCTTTATCTTCTCGTGTTTGTGTTGATGGTCTTACTCTTCAGGGAAGTCCAAGTGTCACAACTAATGACTCATCTTCATCCGATCTGGACTTGTCTCTCAAACTTTGAAATTTTTGTCAATTTTTAGGCTCATTTTGACATAATGTTTCTATGTAGTCTATGGAGTTTCATTTTATTAGTTTTATTGTTTGGCTTTGTATCTTATTTTCAAGAAAGTATAGTCATCTCATGAAAGGAATCAAATCTTTGATATGATCCCACTAAACACCTTCTTAATCAAATCATCCCTTACTCTTCTCAACACAAATATATTTTCATGAGTCCAAATTTTTTTTTTATTACTTACATTAAATGTCAAATTAGTTATTTTTGTATGATATCCCTTTAATTCTTATAACAACAAAAAAAAAATTGACGGCTCAAAATAATTAAGAATAAATTCATACCCACAAAAATTTACAGACTAAACTCTAACAGATGAAAATTTTAGGGATATTTCTTAATTTTTTTTCCAGCACAAGAAATTGACAAATGTGTTATCCAAATAATATTAATAAAAGAGTTTTTTCTTTGCATGGAAAAAGCTAAAGACATAATAAAAAAATTTAGAAAAAAAATTGAGCATTTGAATAGTCTTTACTATGAATTTTGAATATATAACCGATATTAAAATATATGAGAAATTTTTATTCAAATTTTGATGCCTACTTATTACTTGACTAAGCTTATTTCTTATTATATATTTTTCTTTAAAAGAATGATTTTAATTAAGATATATATAATTAGATTTTTATTACAGGTTTTAAATGTTTATGATAAATAAAAAGTAATAATTTTTTGAAGATTTTTGTTGTTTATTTATGTTTTAAATATTTATTATAAATAAAATTTGTATTTATATTAAAATAATAATTTTGTCCTAAATTGTTCGATGATTTAACTTCTTATAATATAGTCAATCTTTACTTTTCTTTTTTATTATAATTTTTTTGTTTAACTTTCTGTCTCTAGAATAACTTTATTTTTGTTTTTGGCCTTGACCTTTATAATAAACTGATAAGCATAACAGAAGTGCCACATCATAAACATGTTTGGCATGTCATGGCAAGAACTCATGTCAACATGTCAACATATGGAATATTAAAGAGATTAAACTAAAAACACACAAATAACAAAAAACACACACATATATATATATATATATATATATATATATATATATATTATAAGAGAAATGATATTTTTATAAGTTGTACAATAAATTTTACATCTGAGAGAGAAAAAGATAAAAGAGGGAGAAATTTAAAATGTAATAAATGATGGAATAGAAAGTAATAAACACAAAAATTAATATTATATAAATTGTTATAATTGTATCACCACTCTATTTATATTTTATAGGGACTAAAAGAAAAAAAAAGTATATTTATAAAGAATAAAACAAACTGAGTACAGGAAAAATTGGAGTGGTCCTCCATGAATATAACGATTCAAAGCTCCAATTATCTACAATACCACATCTAATTGTTTGCATTCCACTATTAAAAAAAATGTTATTTTTCTGCGAATTTTTTAAAAAAAAAATATTTGTATATTTTTTTTACAAATTTTTTTGTAATAATAATTTTATAAAAAAAATTTGCAAATTTATTTGTAAAAAATAATTTTACAAAAATTTCTTACAAATTTTTTTATGAAAAATAATCTATAATTTTTTTTTGTAAATTTTATTACAATTTTAATGATCATAAAAAAAATTTATGGTAAAAATTTGCAAAAAAATG